GTGGTATGATTCTCGCTTCGGGTGCGAGAGGTCCCGGGTTCGATTCCCGGTGAGGCCCCTTTTTGTCTATCCTCCGCCAGCTGGATGTTGCATTGTCGACGGAGCTTTCTTGCGTCATACTGACGGCTACATAGTCACGACTGATCCTCGTTAAAACGTGGTCTGCTCCCAAGTCGCATCGCGCCTGCAGCGAAAGTCAGTTTCGGAGAGTTGATACTGACGGTGGAATGCATGCGCCGAAAGAGAAGCATATCGTCGTGCGTATCAGAGCACAATCGTATCGTGCGTAGTGTTCCCACTTGCAATACTGCGTGATAACAATGTGGCGAGTAGACGCCACCAGTGTGGCCTCGTGGTCTAGTGGTACGAATCTCGCTTTGGGTGCGAGATGTCCCGGGTTTGATTCCCGGTGAGACCCCTTTTTTGTCTATCCTCCGCCAGCTGGATGTTGCATCGTCGACGGAGCTTTCTTGCGTCATACTGACGGCTACATAGTCACGACTGATCCTCGTTAAAACGTTGTCTGCTCCCAAGTCGCATCGCGCCTGCAGCGAACGTCAGTTTCGGAGAGTTGATACTGACTGTGGAATGCATGCGCCGAAAGAGAAGCATATCGTCGTGCGTATCAGAGCACAATCGTATCGTGAGTAGTGTTCCCACTTGCAATAATGCGTGGTAACAATGTGGCGAGTAGACGTCACCAGTGTGGACTCGTGGTCTAGTGGTACGAATCTCGCTTTGGTGCGAGAGGTCCCGGGTTCGATTCCCGGTGAGGCTCCTTTTTGTCTATCCTCCGCCAGCTGGATGTTGCATTGTCGACGGAGCTTTCTTGCGTCATACTGACGGCTACATAGTCACGACTGATCCTCGTTAAATCGTGGTCTGCTCCCAAGTCGCATCGCGCCTGCAGCGAAAGTCAGTTTGGGAGAGCTGATACTGACTGTGGAATGCATGCGCCTAAAGAGAAGAATATTGTAGTGCGTATCAGAGCACAATCGTATCGTGTGTACGGTCTCCGCTTGCAATACTGCGTGCAAAAAATGTGGCAAGTAGACGTCATTAGTGTGGCCTCGTGGTCTAGTGGTGCGTTTCTCGCTTTGGGTGCGAGAGGTCCCGGGTTCGATTCACGGTGAGGCCCCTTTTTGTCTATCCTCCGCCAGCTGGATGTTGCATCGTCGACGGAGCTTTCTTGCGTCATACTGACGGCTACATAGTCACGACTGATCCTCGTTAAAACGTTGTCTGCTCCCAAGTCGCATCGCGCCTGCAGCGAACGTCATTTTCGGAGAGTTGATACTGACTGTGGAATGCATGCGCCGAAAGAGAAGCATATCGTCGTGCGTATCAGAGCACAATCGTATCGTGAGTAGTGTTCCCACTTGCAATAATGCGTGGTAACAATGTGGCGAGTAGACGTCACCAGTGTGGACTCGTGGTCTAGTGGTACGAATCTCGCTTTGGTGCGAGAGGTCCCGGGTTCGATTCCCGGTGAGGCTCCTTTTTTGTCTATCCTCCGCCAGCTGGATGTTGCATCGTCGACGGAGCTTTCTTGCGTCATACTGACGGCTACATAGTCACGACTGATCCTCGTTAAAACGTTGTCTGCTCCCAAGTTGCATCGCGCCTGCAGCGAAAGTCAGTTTCGGAGAGTTGATACTGACTGTGGAATGCATGCGCCGAAAGAGAAGCATATCGTCGTGCGTATCAGAGCACAATCGTATCGTGTGTACGGTCTCCGCTTGCAATACTGCGTGCAAAAAATGTGGCAAGTAGACGTCATTAGTGTGGACTCGTGGTCTAGTGGTACGAATCTCGCTTTGGTGCGAGAGGTCCCGGGTTCGATTCCCGGTGAGGCTCCTTTTTGTCTATCCTCCGCCAGCTGGATGTTGCATTGTCGACGGAGCTTTCTTGCGTCATACTGACGGCTACATAGTCACGACTGATCCTCGTTAAAACGTTGTCTGCTCCCAAGTCGCATCGCGCCTGCAGCGAACGTCAGTTTGGGAGAGCTGATACTGACGGTGGAATGCATGCGCCGAAAGAGAAGAATATTGTAGTGCGTATCAGAGCACAATCGTATCGTGTGTACTGTCTCCGCTTGCAATACTTCGTGCAAAAAATGTGGCAAGTAGACGTCATTAGTGTGGACTCGTGGTCTAGTGGTACGAATCTCGCTTCGGGTGCGAGAGGTCCCGGGTTCGATTCCCGGTGAGGCCCCTTTTTGACTATCCTCCGCCAGCTGGAAGTTGCATTGTCGACGGAGATTTCTTGCGTCACACTGGCGTCTACATGATCACGACTGATTCTCGTGTAAACGTTGTCTGCTCCCAAGTCGCATCGAGCCTGCAGCGAACGTCAGTTTGGGAGAGCTGATACTGACTGTGGAATGCGTGCGCCGAAAGAGAAGCATATCGTCGTGCGTATCAGAGCACAATCGTATCGTGCTTATTGTTCCCACTTGCAATCATTCGAGGTATCAATGTGGCGAGTAGACCTCACCAGTGTGGCCTCGTGGTCTAGTGGCATGGTTCTCGCTTTGGGTGCGTGAGGTCCCGGGTTCGATTCCCGGTGAGGCCCCTTTTTTGTCTATCCTCCGCCAGCTGGATGTTGCAATGTCGAGGGAGCTTTCTTGCGTCATACTGACGGCTACACAATCACGACTGATCCTCGTTAAATCGTGGTCTGCTCCCAAGTCGCATCGCGCCTGCAGCGAAAGTCAGTTTGGGAGAGCTGATACTGACTGTGGAATGTATGCGCCGAAAGAGAAGAATATTGTAGTGCGTATCAGAGCACAATCGTATCGTGTGTACGGTCTCCGCTTGCAATACTGCGTGCAAAAAATGTGGCAAGTAGACGTCATTAGTGTGGACTCGTGGTCTAGTGGTACGAATCTCGCTTCGGGTGCGAGAGGTCCCGGGTTCGATTCCCGGTGAGGCCCCTTTTTTGTCTATCCTCCGCCAGCTGGATGTTGCATTGTCGACGGAGCTTTCTTGCGTCATAATGACGGCTACATAATCACGACTGATTCTCGTTAAAACGTTGTCTGCTCCCAAGTCGCATCGCGCCTGCAGCGAACGTCAGTTTCGGAGAGTTGATACTGACTGTGGAATGCATGCGCCGAAAGAGAAGCATATCGTCGTGCGTATCAGAGCACAATCGTATCGTGAGTAGTGTTCCCACTTGCAATAATGCGTGGTAACAATGTGGCGAGTAGACGTCACCAGTGTGGACTCGTGGTCTAGTGGTACGAATCTCGCTTTGGTGCGAGAGGTCCCGGGTTCGATTCCCGGTGAGGCTCCTTTTTTGTCTATCCTCCGCCAGCTGGATGTTGCATCGTCGACGGAGCTTTCTTGCGTCATACTGACGGCTACATAGTCACGACTGATCCTCGTTAAAACGTTGTCTGCTCCCAAGTTGCATCGCGCCTGCAGCGAAAGTCAGTTTGGGAGAGCTGATACTGACTGTGGAATGCATGCGCCGAAAGAGAAGAATAATGTAGTGCGTATCAGAGCACAATCGTATCGTGTGTACGGTCTCCGCTTGCAATACTGCGTGCAAAAAATGTGGCAAGTAGACGTCATTAGTGTGGACTCGTGGTCTAGTGGTACGAATCTCGCTTCGGGTGCGAGAGGTCCCGGGTTCGATTCCCGGTGAGGCTCCATTTTTGTCTATCCTCCGCCAGCTGGATGTTGCATTGTCGACGGAGCTTTCTTGCGTCATACTGACGGCTACATAGTCACGACTGATCCTCGTTAAAACGTTGTCTGCTCCCAAGTCGCATCGCGCCTGCAGCGAACGTCAGTTTGGGAGAGCTGATACTGACGGTGGAATGCATGCGCCGAAAGAGAAGAATAATGTAGTGCGTATCAGAGCACAATCGTATCGTGTGTACGGTCTCCGCTTGCAATACTTCGTGCAAAAAATGTGGCAAGTAGACGTCATTAGTGTGGACTCGTGGTCTAGTGGTACGAATCTCGCTTTGGTGCGAGAGGTCCCGGGTTCGATTCGAGGTGAGGCCCCTTTTTGACTATCCTCCGCCAGCTGGAAGTTGCATTGTCGACGGAGATTTCTTGCGTCACACTGGCGTCTACATGATCACGACTGATTCTCGTGTAAACGTTGTCTGCTCCCAAGTCGCATCGAGCCTGCAGCGAACGTCAGTTTGGGAGAGCTGATACTGACTGTGGAATGCGTGCGCCGAAAGAGAAGCATATCGTCGTGCGTATCAGAGCACAATCGTATCGTGCTTATTGTTCCCACTTGCAATCATTCGAGGTATCAATGTGGCGAGTAGACCTCACCAGTGTGGCCTCGTGGTCTAGTGGCATGGTTCTCGCTTTGGGTGCGTGAGGTCCCGGGTTCGATTCCCGGTGAGGCCCCTTTTTTGTCTATCCTCCGCCAGCTGGATGTTGCAATGTCGAGGGAGCTTTCTTGCGTCATACTGACGGCTACACAATCACGACTGATCCTCGTTAAATCGTGGTCTGCTCCCAAGTCGCATCGCGCCTGCAGCGAAAGTCAGTTTGGGAGAGCTGATACTGACTGTGGAATGTATGCGCCGAAAGAGAAGAATATTGTAGTGCGTATCAGAGCACAACCGTATCGTGCGTAGTGTCTCCGCTTGCAATATTAAGTGCAAATGTGGCGAGTAGACGTCACCAGTGTGGACTCGTGGTCTAGTGGTACGAATCCCACTTTGGGTGCGAGAGGTCCCGGGTTCGATTCGAGGTGAGGCCCCTTTTTTGTCTATCCTCCGCCAGCTGGATGTTGTATTGCCGACGGAGCTTTCTTGCGTCATACTGACGGCTACATAGTCACGACTGATCCTCGTTAAAACTTTGTCTGCTCCCAAGTCGCATCGCGCCTGCAGCGAGAGTCAGTTTGTGAGAGCTGATACTGACTGTGGAATGCATGCGCCGAAAGAGAAGCATATTGTAGTGCGTATCAGAGCACAATCGTATCGTGTGTAGTGTCTCCACTTGCAATAATGCGTGGTAACAATGTGGCGAGTAGACGTCACCAGTGTGGAATCGTGGTCTAGTGGCATGAATCCCGCTTCGGGTGCGAGAGGTCCCGGGTTCAATTCCCGGTGAGGCCCCTTTTTTGTCTATCTTCCGCCGGCTGGATGTTGCATTGTCGATGGAGCTTTCTTGCGTCATACTGACGGCTACATAATCACGACTGATCCTTGTGTAAACGTGGTCTGCTCCCAAGTCGCATCGCGCCTGTAGCGAAAGTCAGTTTGGGAGAGCTGATACTGACTGTGGAATGCATGCGCCGAAAGAGAAGCATATCGTCGTGCGTAGCAGAGCACAATCGTATCGTGCGCAGTGTCTCCACTTGCAATATTGAGTGTAAATGTGGCGAGGAGACGTCGCCAGTGTGGCCTCATGCTGGTGTTTGCTAATTCTGTTATTGCTTCTTTGATGCAGCACTTTGGGAACAGCATTCAAGTTGGCTGCTAACGAGACTGGGGCAAACTTTCGTCAGGATGGCTTTACGAGTGCCACACTGGTGACGTCTACTCGCCACATTTACCTCGTGGTCTAGTGGTACGTTTCTCGCTTCGGGTGCGAGAGGTCCAGGGTTCGATTTTCGGTGAGGCCCCTTTTTTGTCTATCCTCCGCCAGATGGATGTTGCATTTGTTAGAATTAACCAGGTTGCGGAGCTGATGAGAAGAAGAAGATGGCTTACGGCCGGGGATGAAAACCGAAAAGTGAGTTGTATTCAAATTGTTCCTAGCTTCGAAAACGAATGGCTAGTAGTAGCCGGTGGCTCTCAGCCACCTATACCGTGCCCTGTCTCCACCGCTTTCTGTTTTACCTATCGCTGGGTAATTACGTCTCGTAAATACCTTTCGTTAACCTTTGCTGTGTCATATGCAGAATGAAAATGATTGCGTGGTTGAGGGGAGTATCTGCGGGCGGGTCACAGTTCTGGTGAACCCTGAACACCAGGTCGTGAGTGTCAGTCACAATTAACTTGTACGCGGCGTGGATCGAATCCGCACTCACCCGCGTGGAATCCCCTTTCCCAAACGAATGAGCCAATCCGATGACTTGTCGTTTGCTTGCTTCCCACAATGTAAACCTGCCAAAGAACAATACGACTGATGCAAATATGCAATATACACCCTGCACAAGTCGCCGCATCATCACTCGCTAACACTCTCTCTTTATGTGCGTGCGACGTGTACGCCCTACACTGCCATGCACAGACCCGTGATGAACTTGCTGTGCTTGTCTCTTGGAAGTGCCTTAGTGAACCCATCTGCGACCATTTCTTCCGTCGGCTTGAACTCGAGCGCGATAACTGCACTTGCAAACTTTTCACGCAAAAAGTGAAACTTGATGTCGATGTGCTTCGTGCGCGAGTGGTACATAGGATTCTTGGCCAGCGCGATGCATCCTTGATTGTCTTGAAAAATCGTCGTCGCGTTCTTGGCACAGTAGTTCAGATCCTTGAGCAGACCTCGAAGCCAAATTGCTTCCTGCGTCGCGCTGTACAGACTCATGTACTCTGCTTCCGTACTTGAGGTCGCGACCGTTGGTTGACGCTTCGAATTCCACGATATCACGCTTCCGTTCGGGAAGAAAACGTATCCTGTTGTGTAACGCCGCGTGTCGAGGTCGCCAGCCCAGTTTGCATCCGCGAATCCGATCAGCTCTCCCTTGTTGATGCCGCTGAAACGATGCTTAAGTCTTGAGTCGTCTTGAGATACTTGAGAATCCGCTTTGCTACTGTCCAATGCGACTTGTCGTAGCGCTCGCAAAACTTCGCAACTTCGCCAACCGCATGCGCAATGTCCGGTCGTGTACATGTGGCGATGTACATTAAAGCGCCCACCAGCTCACGGTATGGGTACTTTGGTACAAACGCTTCCTCTTGACCCATCTTGATCAGCTTCGAGTTACTGTCCGCTGGCGTGTGCATGTCCTTGCAGTTCTCAACGCCGAACTTCTCCGAAAGTCGCTTGATGTACGCCTTCTGGTTCATCTTGATCGTTCCATCTTCGCGTTTGCTATGGATCTCGATCCCGAGGCAGTACTTGAGATCTCCAAGATCTTTGATGCTGAAATCTTCCATCAATGAGTTCTTGATACCTGCGATGTGCTCCTTTGTCTTGCAGAAAATCAATAAGTCGTCCACGTAGATCACGATGATGCTGTACTCCTCTCTTGTCACTCGAACGAACCTTCACGGGTCCGCTGCACTGCTCTTGAACCCTTGATCATCCAAGTGCTGACTCAACTTGTTGTTCCACTGTCGCGCCGCTTGCTTCGTCCCGTATAGCGCCTTCTGCAGCAAACACTTCTTTTTCGGGCTTCCTTCATCTTCAAAACCGTCAGGTTGGTCCATGTAGATCTCCTCTTCCACTTCGCCGTAGAGAAACGCTGTGTCGACATCAACGTTTTCTGCTTCCAGGTCTTCAGCTGCAGCGATCGCCAACACTGTGTTGATAGATTCCTTGCGCGCCACTGGTGCGAAGGTCTCGTTGTAGTCGATGCCAGGACGCTGCGTGAACCCTTTCGCAACCAAGCGTGCCTTGAACTTGATGAACTCGCCACTTGGATCGCGTTTAATCTAGAAGATCCACTTGCAGCCTACGGCCTTGTTGCCCGATGGCATGTCCACTAGCTTCCATGTGCTGTGTTCTTCAAGCGACTTCATCTCACTCTTCATTGCCTGTAGACACTGCTCCTTGTAATTGCTCTTCATTACTTCTTGATAGCTGGACGCTTGTTCCCCATCTTCTTCAGCCGAGAAACAGTAGAAAGAGTCGAAGTCACCTTCGTAGTCGTCCAAATTGAAGTGACCGCAACGATGGCTTGGAAATTCTTGTTCGTAGCGAACCACGCCGCGCTTCTTCCGAACCGGTCGCACCATCCACTCTTCTTCTCCATTTCTTCCGGGTGTGCTGGATGCGCGCTTAGGAATGGTGTCGCTTGGTCGATCACTTGGTCCGGGATGAGAGCTGTTCTGCGCTCGAACTGGTGGGGTGCGCAGATCTTCTTCGGTCACCGGCGCTGGTATGTCTTCATCATCGGAAAGCGACGCCTCCACACTTTCCTCTTCTTCAATGACATCGAAGACCCGCGTGTCTCTGCTTTTCGATGCTTTTGAGACAGAATTCTCAGCGAACGTGACGCTTCTTGAAATCACGATCGAGCCATCGTCCGCGTTAAGTAGCCGATACGCCTTTTGGTCCTTCGCATAGCCGAGAAAGAAACATCGCACGCCTGAGTCGTCCAGCTTCTTCCTCTTCTCCTTCGCCACATGCGCATAGCATTGCGCACCAAACATGCGCATGTGATCGATGCGCGGAACCTTCTTGAACACCATCTCGTGTGGACTTGAGCTCTTGTTTGACGCGTTCGGCAGAATGTTTCTGATGTATGCCGCTGCCAGTAGTGCCTCGCACCAGTAGGACTTGTCGAGGCCGATTTCCTTGAGCATACAGCGCGTCATCTCCACCAGCGTGCGGTTCATCCGCTCCGCCATCCCGTTCTGCTCTGGGTTGTACGGAACCGTGAACTCTTGCTTAATGAACTTTGCCTCGCAAGAGTTGTTTATCGTTTCGTTCCGGTATTCGCCGCCGTTGTCACTTCGCAACACCTTTATCTTCGTTCCAGATGCTGTCTTGACATCTTGGTAAAACCGCTTGAACGCACTCGCAACGTCGCTCTTCTTTTGCAACGATTAGACCGTTACATACCTGCTCTTCATCATGATGAAGGTTACGGCGTAACTGAAACCAGACTTGGACGCTGGCGTGATGAGTCCGAGAACGTCGGAGCACACCACCACGTCGGAACGCGAACTCTCCCTGGTTTCAGCGTCTTCTTCACTTGTCTTGAATGACTTGCGCACTTGCTTTGACGTTGTGCGTACGTCACACGCAACGTTCGTCTTCATCGTTGCGCCCTTGATTTTTCCGTCCTTGACCATGGCATTCAGCGTACCATACGACACATGACCCAGTCTTCTATGCCATAGCTCTGTATCGTCTTCGGCCATGTGGCACTCCGTACCATAGTCAGCGTTCAGATACAGGAGGAACCCCTGCTTCCTTCCTGTTGCGACGGGTGTGCCGCCACGCTTCACCACGCACTCGTTGCGCGTTATCTCCACTATCATGCCGCGCGCTGCCGCAGCCGTGAGCGAAAACAGGTTCTTGGACAAATCTTGAACGTGAAGCGTGTTCTCAAGGCGAGCGTCGATCCACGCATGCCCCGTCCAGACGCACAGCTTCACTGTCCCATGTCCAATGACATTCAGCTTCACGTCGATCTTTGCGCTTGAAATGCTTCGCGCATGATGCACTTATTCGTACTCTTCGAACGCATCTCGATCCTTGCACATGTGTGCTGACGCGCCACTGTCCATGACCCAGCTGTTGCTCGCGAAACCTTCGCTGGCACTAAACGCGACATTCGACTGGTCATGCTGGTGCTCCCTCGGCCCTCGACCGGAGCTACAATCTCTGGCGTAGTGTCCGACCTTGCCACAGTTGTAGCAGGTACCTGATGGTCCTTTCGCGCGCCGTCCCTGTTGCTTCTTCGGGAACTGCTTACCCTTCCTCTTGCCTGCGTAGAGATCCGTCGCATCTTCTACCCGTGCAGCCTCATTCTGGCGCACTTCTTCGGCGATCAACTTGCTCACGAGGTCACTAAAACTGAAGCTTGCGACGGACATTCGGAATGCCTGTACCAAGCTCTTGGAGCTGGAAGGTAGACTCCGCAACAGTACTGCGCACACGTCCTCTTCGCTTGGACCGCAGTTCGCGCGCTTCATCTTCATCACGAGGTCATCCAGATCCATTACATAACCGCTCATGCTTGATGCTGCATACTTTAACGAGGCGAATTTTTCCTTCAGCAAAGTCGATTCGCCATGTCATGACTGTGATGAAATCGCGCCAGACGTCCCCACGCTTCTCTTGCGGTAGCCGAGTCGATGACATGCATCAACTGCGAATCGCGCAGATTCAGCACGATCGCGGCGTGGGCTTGCTGTTCCTTGGCCGCACTTGTTGTCTCATCGCCCGCGATCGCGCCCCACAGTCCCTTCGACATCAGGTACATCTTCATCTTGTAACTCCACAACCCATAATTCGAGCCGTCGAAAGGCTCGACCTTGAAACCGGAGTCGTTCTTTGGGCTCATAACCTGTTAAAATTTACCAGGTTGCGGAGCTGATGAGAAGAAGAAGATGGCTTACGGCCGGGGATGAAAACTGAAAAGTGAGTTGTATTCAAATTGTTCCTAGCTTCGAAAACGAATGGCTAGTAGTAGCCGGTGGCTCTCAGCCACCTATTCCGTGCCCTGTCTCCACCGCTTTCTGTTTTACCTATCACTGGGTAATTACGTCCCGTAAATACCTTTCGTTAACCTTTGCTGTGTCAAATGCAGAATGAAAACGATTGCGTGGTTGAGGGGAGTATCTGCGGGCGGGTCACAGTTCTGGTGAACCCTGAACACCAGGTCGTGAGTGTCAGTCACAATTAACTTGTACGCGGCGTGGATCGAATCCACACTCACCCGCGTGGAATCCCCTTTCCCAAACGAATGAGCCAATCCGATGACTTGTCGTTTGCTTGCATCCCACAATGTAAACCTGCCAAAGAACAATACGACTGATGCAAATATGCAATATACACCCTGCACAAGTCGCCGCATCATCACTCGCTAACAGCATTGTCGATGGAGCTTTCTTGCGTCATACTGAGGGTAACAGAATCACGACAGATTTCTCGTGTAAACGTTGTCTGCTCCCAAGTCGCATCGCGCCTGCAGCAAACGTCAGTTTGGGAGAGCTGATACTGACGGTGGAATGCATGCGCAGAAAGAGAAGCATATCGTAGTGCGTAGCAGAGCACAATCGTATCGTGCGCAGTGTGCCCACTTGCAATGTTGCGTGCAACAAATGTAGCGAAATGCAAGAGCAACCTGACTTCTGGTGTTGTTCTTCGTTCGGTAATGGTTTGCGATAAGGTAGACCAGAATGTGCAGAGTCTCGATTTGTAAGAAGAAAGTGATACAGACACACGTCGACGTAGTGTAGTGGTCATCACGTCTGCTTTACACGCAGAAGGTCGCCGGTTCGAACCCGGCCGTTGACACCCTCTTTTACGTCTGCAGCGTCGGACTGACTGTATCAAATACTTACCAATCTTCTACGTTCATCACGGATGCATTATCTCATCTCAGCTCTTCAACAGATTAAGGATCATGCGGCGAAGATCTTCCTAGTATTGCGTCGTTTAAACTGTTACAACGATATATTTGTACACCAAAATTCTCCCTGACACACCTCGTTGAATTGCTGTCTCCGCGTGATTTGCTTGCAAAAGTGTTAGCAATGTTCAGCAATGTGCACTACACATCTTGCATGCGTAGCTGCAACGTCCATCGTCAACCAGCAGAATGTGCACGAACACGTCACCGCACACTTTTAGTAATGAGTTGCCAGGGATGTAGTCGATGGAAAATCTTAGCTACAGGCTTTCGCTTGGTGACAGGCGGAGCCGTACAACACGCGTGCTCAAGACGACCTGAGACCAGCTGGCGTTTTAGGCAACATATCGGTTGCAACCACGCAGCTCATGACTGCTAAGATGCAGGACACGACTGACAAGGCACCTAACATCAACCTGGCGAACGCGGACAAAGAAGGATGTTAATGGGAAGATAAGGCGGGACTTCACACACTTGAAGCGTAAATCATACCAATACATCACGAGCCTACTTCAGCCAGTTTCAGCATCATCTGTCACATACACAACTTTTATCCGAATACATTCGTGTGTGCGTGCTGCGTCACTGGGCATGCTGCATCCGTAGTTACTATATCTGGAACTAGTCGCGGAAGTATATCGAAATGCGTCCTTCGTACAATTCATCATTCATCGCTTGTTTATCACCGAGTCTAACGGTGCCATTGTCTTACTTTCTTTTGGTTTTGGCTACCTCAACATCCACTTCTACGCCAGAGATAATTTGAACAGTTCATAAAATCACATACTTCATAAACTCGAAGCAGGTTTTGTGCGAAGATGGCCACATCAATACGAACAACAAACTCGGCCAGCCGCGCTGAGCTGGAATGTGATTTGAAGCTCGACGATGAACATTATTACAGCTTTCAAGTTCGTTGTGTAAAAATCGCATCAAAGGAGATGATACTATTGCGACGAATGCACGATCTTCGTGCTCCTGTTGTAGTACAAGGTCCTTGATGTACAGCGCTGGCACAATCAACAAGGGCACAACTCCCAGAGTTTCAAACGCGGCTTGCGTGCGCCACGACATGTGGCATCCCTTCGAGTCAGCTGATATATGACATCAGACCAGGTAACTTCATCAAGCCTTACGCTTTCAAGTTTACGTTGAAGATATACGATAAGGTGGCCGATTGAAAGGAAGCTCAAGAAGAACGCTGAATAGTTTCTTGCACTATCCTTCCTACTACGAAGCAGACATCATACCGTGACCTATCAAAATGAAAGAGGTCCGAGTAATGCACGTAAGCGTATTATACATACCGAATACTGATTGTTATGGCACCAGAGAGGTATACGTTAATGCGGGTAACGCGACCTGGAGACGTCACACCATTGTCAGTATCTCCGCCTCTGTGCCAAAGTCGTAAGTTTTTGGTCGATGTTTATCACAACCATTGGTTGTTGCATTCGTGGTCTTCCCAAACAGAACGAGTCCACAAGACTAAAACGCTTCAGTGCATGTATTTTGCGACCCACAAAGTGATCAATCCTCCACTGCTCATACGAAATGACGTGAGGTACCACGGATCTTTTCTGTTCCCCCGATGTCTTTTTACGCTTCGGGCTCGACTGTCACAGTGATTCAAAGTATGGTGTCGGCACGACACCGGAGTTACGTCGCCAGCACACCACTTTTGTGGTTATACCTGTAAGCATCCGCACGGTTACTAGTCCGGTGTTTGCGTCTTGATTTGGTTGTAAATCGCCCAGGTAGAGAATAAATGTGAGGAACGGGATAAAGGTTGACACGAGTGGGATTCGAACCCACGCCCGAAGACTGGTGCCTAAAACCAGCGCCTTAGACCACTCGGCCATCGTGTCTTCCCGAACGACGACACGACCGCGCAATACACCTCACTCTCTCATCACACTTCGCGGCCTCAGCCATATCCTTTTACAGCCATGGGCGCGACAAACTGGCACACTTGTCACGCAGGCGGTTTGTCATGAACTTCGGACCGGGAGTTAGATCAGTGATAACACAATAGACGAGAAAAGTGCCTCATACACACAGGACAATAAGCGAGCAGCTTCTCAGGTTTACTCTCGCAACCCACAAGAGCTCGCGGCGTGGGTGCGTGAAATTGAGGCACACGATAAAGCAGTCACGCAATCGTCAAACGTCAAACCCGATACATCTCGTCAAGAATCGTTGCAGGATTAATCCATGGCACATTAGCCTGGCAAGTCTCGGTCCTACTCTAAGCTGGATACAGGAAAGAGATAGGCGATTACCGCGTACATGAAAAGAAAATCATAGCACATACATGACAACGACGAAATTTTGGTACTCGTCTTCTGAAGACGGTTGCATTTACACGTCACTACAACCAGTGCAAGCTCCCGGATATCCCACACTTCGACACACAGTTAAGAGCTTCGAAAAGACTGGGCTCCATTGATGTATACTTCAAATGACAAGGCCGTCGCCAGTAGCGTCGGCAAAAACTCACTTGTCAAAGAAGTTGAGTTACTGCTTGAGCTAGCGTTTAGTATTGGCGGTCGCAAACGCAATATACAAATAAACGGAATGCAAGAGCAACCTGACTTCTGGTGTTGTTCTTCGTTCGGTAATGGTTTGCGACAAGGTAGACCAGAATGTGCAGAGTGTCGATTTGTAAGAAGAAAGTGATGCAGACACACGTCGACGTAGTGTAGTGGTCATCACGTCTGCTTTACACGCAGAAGGTCGCCGGTTCGAACCCGGCCGTTGACACCCTCTTTTACGTCTGCAGCGTCGGACTGACTGTATCAAATACTTACCAATCTTCTACGTTCATCACGGATACATTATCTCATCTCAGCTCTTCAACAGATTAAGGATCATGCGGCGAAGATCTTCCTAGTATTGCGTCGTTTAAACTGTTACAACGATATATTTGTACACCAAAATTCTCCCTGACACACCTCGTTGAATTGCTGTCTCCGCGTGATTTGCTTGCAAAAGTGTTGGCAATGTTCAGCAATGTGCAGTACACATCTTGCATGCGTAGCTGCAACGTCCATCGTCAACCAGCAGAATGTGCACGAACACGTCACCGCACACTTTTAGTAATGAGTTGCCAGGGATGTAGTCGATGGAAAATCTTAGCTACAGGCTTTCGCTTGGTGACAAGCGGAGCCGTACAACACGCGTGCTCAAGACGACCCGAGACCAGCTGGCGTTTTAGGCAACATATCGGTTGCAACCACGCAGCTCATGACTGCTAAGATGCAGGACACGACTGACAAGGCACCTAACATCAACCTGGCGAACGCGGACAAAGAAGGACGTTAATGGGAAGTTAAGGCGGGACTTCACACACTTGAAGCGTAAATCATACCAATACATCACGAGCCTACTTCAGCCAATTTTAGCATCATCTGTCACATATGCAACTTTTATCCGAATACATTCGTGTGGGCGTGCTGCGTCACTGGGCATGCTGCATCCGTAGTTACTATATCTGGAACTAGTCGCGGAAGTATATCGAAATGCGTCCTTCGTACAATTCATCATTCATCGCTTGTTTATCACCGAGTCTAACGGTGCCATTGTCTTACTTTCTTTTGGTTTTGGCTACCTCAACATCCACTTCTACGCCAGAGATAATTTGAACAGTTCATAAAATCACATACTTCATAAACTCGAAGCAGGTTTTGTACAAAGATGGCCACATCAATACGAACAACAAACTCGGCCAGCCGCGCTGAGCTGGAATGTGATTTGAAGCTCGACGATGAACATTATTACAGCTTTTAAGTTCGTTGTGTAAAAATCGCATCAAAGGAGATGATACTATTGCGACGAATGCACGATCTTCGTGCTCCTGTTGTAGTACAAGGTCCTTGATGTACAGCGCTGGCACAATCAACAGGGGCACAACTCCCAGAGTTTCATAC